CTCTTGAGAAAAAGTAATCTGATATGTGCTCTAGTGTATACAGTAACTCCTATCATGTTACTTTTGTATGACACAGACTCCGGCAAAGCTACTTCTTCAGTATCAGGGGCAAGATTGTCATCCTCTGTATCAATATCCTCTTGTCCTTCCTCTTCCGTACAGTTCGCTTCCCCAGGGCCAACTACTGTCTGCTTCCTCGAGTATTTTTGACGGAACACGTATGGATTTGACTGACGATTGGAAAGTTTATAGCATCCCGCATTCACTTCGTTTCCACTAAAGTTGGAATAGATAACCTCGTTCACACGTCCTAATTTCGCCAGCTTCCCATTACTTTGTGCATCAATCCATTCTTTCATATTCGAATATTTTCGATGAATGCATACTAACTCTGCAGTGCAGTTTGCAACTCCACCGAAGCTGTTTAAGGCACGAACTATATCGGCTGGCGTGGTTACGTCTTGTCGCGTTGCATTACAGAACCTGTTTATGTGCATCATTGATAATGCAAAGTGTGCATCCACAAGGCTTTTCCCTCTTTGTGTCTCGGAATGCACAAAACCACTCATAACTATGCCATGTTTTCTCGAGATAAAAGGACCCATCACAGGTACCAAGTCGTTCTGATAACACCTAGCATTGTCCGATAGGAGCGTGAAAGACTTGATCGTGGGAATTTCAATGACTAATCGGGATAGAATGGCGTCCAAGAGACTGCATATTGCCACTCTGTCTTTCTTCATGTCGTTACTGATGACGTGATCTAGAAACATAGTATGTACTTCGTATGAGTCTGTAGAGGCTTGCTGCTCGACCGAGTCACAGTAAAATATAACTGCCCCGTGCCAAGATATGCCCTTTTTTCCAAAGAATTCCGTCGTCTTCTCCCTGTAACGTATAGGTTCGAACTTCATTTTGTAATCGACGAGTATTACAGCTTTGCACTTTGACCGGTCCCGAGAAAGACCCTCAAAAAGTTCAGCGATTCGCTGTTCCTGGATTTTGCATCTCTGCTGGTGACCTAAGTACAGCATCACTTTGTTCTTTACCTCGTCGAGGGCCTCTATTATGTCCACTTTCGGCGCATGCAGTGCCTGCTTGACATTCGAGATCACCTGAAAAGGAGCCATGCAGGCTGCACATTCACTCTGTCGCGAGCTCTTAAGAGGTCCAATTAAATCTCTGCTATTCTCCTGCGGCTCTAGAGCAAAAGAGCTGTCATGAAACGGATCAGAGTCTAAGTCAATGTGGTTTAGGTACGTGAATTTCAGGAACTCTTCGATGGCATCTGCTTGAGCTTTGAGCTTTTCCCTCTCTGCTTCACTCCCTTCAGCACAGATTATCTCTCGGAGTGTGCGAAGGCTGTCGTAAACGAGTGCGCCGAGGACGTAGTTTACAGCAGATTTTCTCTTCTGCTGCGTGCGAGTCAAACTGTCCGACATTTGCAAAAAAAACAGAACGACTCAATGGCCTTTCCCCGGTATTATTCTGTCTGGTATCATGAAACCAGGAAGTGTAGTCAGCATAGATTCTTTCGTTCGTTTTGCGCCTCATTACAGCTGGAAACTCCACCCATTCGTTGTCCAACCTCAACCGTTTCGTACCCCAGGAAAGCAACTGCACGTTTTCTGGACGAAACAGAAACCTCAAAGCCTGACTTATAACGTCCCCGTGGGGTTTCGCTTTGGTATGAACGACCACGGGTAGTGCTCCAGCACACAGTAAATGATCCCAATCTTTCCTGGCTCTCTGAAATAATCTTGCCACTGCGCCACTTCTGGCTTTCTTTTTTGCGGTTTGGTCGAGGTTTTCTAAATGGGCAGTGGTTCGTTTCCTATTTACGGAATCAGAAGCTCCTTTGCCCTCACGATTTTCAAGGTCCTCTTTTTGACTGCCTTGTGTGTTCGAGGTTGTGAAGGCTTCAAAGCATTCGGTGCAATAAAGAGGGTCGTCGGCATCTTCAACGCTCAGTTTGAGTACTTTTTGGCAGCACAAGCTATAGACGCAGGCATTACAATGAGAACAATTATGACCTGTAGCAGTCCCTCTCTCGCCTTCTCCGTCCAATACACAGCCCTGCACACGACACCTAAATAGATTATCAATACCACCAGGACACGTGAAGAGCGTACCCATAGGTAAAGTGTCAAGTGCCACATCACGCATGGCTGCGGGTTGTCTTTGCTGTAGGGCGGGCGTCAACACACTTTGGTGGTACGTCTCCTTCTCATTAACATGTGTAACATCGTAGCTAGGTTTCATCACTGCCTCAAGGACGCTTGGCGGCTGAACATCATCACTTTAGTTCTTCCCAGAAAAGCCATTTCCCTCAAATTCAGGCTTTTCTAGTTCAATTTCTACAGCGAGGGGCTCTTCTGGATCCGACACGCGAGATTCCTTCGTTCTTGTTTTAGAATCATCAGCTTGTAGAACGCGATGGAATTCCGCCCCGCTCACAGAAGAACGCAAAACTGCCTGAAGCGTCTTTTTCTCAATAGAGCCATTATTAGCAGCTTTGATCCCATCAGAATTGGCGCCCTGAAGTTTAGAGTTTCGCACATTTTCCTCCATAAAAGAACGGAAAAGGTTCTCAGAGTCACTTGGAAGAAAGGCTCGTGAAAGAGCCGCCAAACATTTACCCATCACAATGTGGAGCTTGCTTCTTTCTTGAAGTGTGATGTCTGTAAGCGTTGAAGTCAACGTGCGACTTGCAGGTAACAAAAAGTTGGTCTCACGGCGATTTATTCCCAGAGTAGTAAGAATAGATGCGACTGTTCTAACGTCCAACTTAGAAATATTTTCTCGAGCTTGGCGAAATGAAGCTTGTGCTTGTTGTCGAATTTTGGTTCGTGCAGCGGCAGAAGCACGACGTTGACTTTGAATTTGCTGCTTCGGCGGCCTACCGCGACCTCTTAGAGGTCCTCGGCAGGTACAGGAAGGACAGCGGGGGCAATTCCCGCATAGTTGGCATGCCCGCTGGCGATGGCCACAAGTGCCCATTACCATCAAAGAAATCTGGACAGCGATGTTCAATGTCAGGGAGGTATGTCGGTGTGTACTGGCAGTGAGGAGCGGGAGGCACGAGACCGTGAAAAGGACGTAGGGGGTGCAGGTGTCAAGGTTCGAAGAATTGTAGCAGCTGAGGTTCAATGTCAGGGAGGTCTGTCGGTGTGGGCTGGCAGTGAGGAGCGGGAGGCACGAGACCGTGAACAGGACGTAGGGGGTGCAGGTGTCAGGGAGGACTGGCAGTGAGGAGCGGGAGGAACGAGACCGTGAACAGGACGTAGGGGGTGCAGGTGTCACGGTTTGAAGAATTTTGGCAGCTGAGGTTCAATATCAGGGAGGTCTGTCGGTGAGGGCTGGCAGTGAGGAGCGCGAGGAACGAGACCGTGAACAGGACATAGGGGCTGCAGGCGTCAAGGTTTGAAGAATTGTGGCAGCTGAGGTTGGCTTGGCAAGTCGGGGGAGGGGATGAGGGAGATGAAATCGCCATGTGTCAATTGCCCACTTTCATGAACCAGAACTGCCTCTGAAAAGACAGGATGGTTCAGTGAAACATCTCTTGCCTGGCAAAATGTTGCGAGAACTAAATTTTGATTATATATTTTCGAGTCCATTTTGGGTGAGATTTGGTTGTTACACCCCCTACAAGGAGGTTAACCAAGCGCCAGAGGGTCACCTTCCCAACCTTCAATCTCTAAAAAACTCGGCCCGTCCATTAGTGGAATGTCAAAGGAGCTTCTACCGTTGAGAGATTCAACGCCCCGAACCCGCAATTTTTTTGGATCCAGAGATGTCTCCTGAGATGTGCCCCTTTTTAAAAAAATTACGTGTTAAGCAGAATGAAGATAATTAAGCGTTGGCCACGTGTGTAGTGTGGATGTTGGAAATGGAAGGTCCCACACCGTTCCAAGGAGAGGATTTCTGCGAAAGCACCGTGGCATTCCCGTGGACTCGTGACCATTCCTGTCGGCTACATTACAGTAGTGCGTACCAAACACATTGCCAACCACCAGGCCGAAAATCCTGGCCTTACTGCAGACTGCGGCCATTCTCGATGAGTCCGCCGGTCATCGGGAGGCTGTCGACTTACCGCCGCGGCATCATCGGGGCGATGCCAAGCGCCGCGTATCCCCCCGATCAGTGAATCTCATTCTTCCTCCCGTTGTCTGCCAGGCGCAATCCATTTTGCTTCCCTGCATCTTGACCTCCCGACTTTGCTTCCATACAAAAAACTACATAAAGGCTTCAGCCCAACCGTTTGCCGTGTAATCAACCTCCACCCCCCTTCCCCCCCTCCCCCCCTCCCCCTCCCTCCCCCTCCCTCGCCCTCCCTGCTACTCCCTCTGTTCCGCGTCGCATCCCCGCAGCTACATCTTCTTTCCACGCTGCCGTTCGCGTATCCACTTGCGCACCCGTGCGCTGAGGCGAACAAGCGGCTCCCATCTGCAAAGTGTTCAGGCCGCATCTGGACCTCAAGGTGACATGTGAGGGGCGGTCCTTCAGATGCGCTCTTGCAACGTGGCGACATGTGGTGAATGTCGGGCGTGGTT